AAAAGATGTATTTTATGTAAATTCAGTCAAAAGCTAATCACATGATAGGATCATAATTGCTGTGAAGACTCTCAGCAAAGACTGTAAATTGGCTGGGGGGCAGGTTAGTACTGGGTGTGTCAGCTAGGTACAACATTTTTGTTGGCACGAGATTATTGCCTCCTGTGCATAAGGGCCTAGCTATCAATAACATCTGCATGGGAATGCACCTTTATCATGCTATAAAAATAGCTAGAAAGCATGGCAGCTGGATTGTGTCTGTACAGGTATAGCCTATCATAACTCTCAATTTTAATATATTTTATGAAAATATTAAATATACTATTTATTTTGTATATATATGTATTAAGCAGTCACAGATACAACTGCATTTGGGATGTTTCTTCATGGCTGAGAACAGTTCAGCAAAGCTCAGAAACTGGGACAAATACAATTGTGTTAGCTGTAGTTGAGCTATGCTTCTGCTACCCATGATGGCACACTTCTAGATACTTCGAGTGCTAGGGTACATGGGGTACCTAATTGAGTTGGATATTCATCCTACATGAGCTGCAGGCGCTCAACACCTCAGAAAGGCTGAATCTCAGTTTACATATTGCAGTCAGAATTGTCCTACTATTATTTCAGAAAATGATGGATTTCAACAGATCATATTTTCGAAGGATTTTTAGGAATCCATCATCCATCCACACCCATCAGAAATTTACAGCAGAACATTTTAGAATTTAGAGAGTTTAAGAAGTTTTGATGTATTGGGCTTCAATGCCAGTGTAAAGATATGTAACAAAAAAACCCCACTAGAAACATTCTATTCCAGAAGTCTCTAGATCAGTTTCGATACTATTAAGTTGCATTAGAAAATTAAAATAGCTTTAATCTGAATAGTGCACACAGCTCATAACAATTTTTACCTAGCTGATCTAAAAAAACCCCAAACCTATTTTTTTGTGGGGACGGAACCAGATGAAAGAACAGGTTATCTTTTTAAAAATACTTCTGATTTATAAGCAAGGGAGGTGCATTTTCCACTGACAGGATAGGAAATATAGAACCAGTGTTAGGTCAAAAATCTCCCACATCCAAGTAAATAGCGTCAATATATACAGATGAAGAAATCTGTTTCACCCACACATTGAAGCAGCACGAGGTACTGATACAGTGAATCTGGCACACATAACGCTAATTATACGTGTAAGTAATTGCACAGTGAAGACTTAAGTTAATTTTGTTTCTGGATAAGCAAAACCACAATTTAAGCCTGGCTAAACCTGTTATAAATAGAATTCTAAATGAGATTCCAAGATGAATAAAATAGCATCTTTTAGTACTCCTAATGAAAAAAAGAGTAACTTTGAATTCATGTGATTTAGGATCAACACTCCACTGGTACATCACCACTTACTCACTCTTCTGCTGATTCTTTGTCATTTGTTTTTCATTATTAACCTCGTGGCAAGGAGCTGCCAACAGTGTTAAAAAAAGAAAAAAAAAGAGGAAGCTCAGAAAAAAATCTGTGGATATATTGTTTGCCACTTCTGAGTGACAAATATATGTGTTTTTTATTATTAACTTTAGATTAGCTGAACACAAATTTAAAAACCCAGAACTTTCTTCATATTTCCTTCCAATTTAGTTTCTCTCAGTGGAGGTAAAAAAAAAAAACCCCAAACCTGAAGAAAGGTGGTTTATAGCAGTGTTATGATGACCTCTTGTGGTTAAAAAATACATCCACCGTGTTCCACAGTTTCTCAAAAACTGTCAGTATCAAAGGCTAAATTCTTCTCTTTGGTCAGTTTTGTCTTGCTAACTCTACTTAAGTGAATTAACTTCTCCTCCCAAACATGCTATCAGTATTTGTCTAGCTCACTGCTAAAAAATTCTTTTAAAAATATCTTAACCTTTGCACTCCACAAACTTAACAGGTGAGAGTATCATATTTTCTCACATGGTAATTTGTTAAAGCCAATTCACAGCTCTATATAAATAAATTCATTAATATAAAGAACTATAATTAAAAAAAAAATTACCCACCACAAATTGTTAAAGAAATTAGATGGTACTAACCATTCATTATAAGAAATTAGAGCAGTATGTATTGAACATGATATTGATAATTACAACAATATATATTGAACATATATATTTTTAGATAAAATTTTAGTACATTAGCTAATTACATGTATCATGTTGAAATTGCTGCTAGCTGTCTCCTTTCACCAATTTTTCTTGTAACTGAGTGTTTTCTGATGTTGTTGAATGCAGTCCATCAACCTGGACCATAACATCTGACACCTTATCCCCTAGCAAGACCTTAGCCTGATTTTGCAATTTCCTGAAATAATTCAAAATTACACAGATTTCATGAAATAACTTTGCTGAGTGATTACACTTAAACGATGTTCCTGACAGTATTTATGGATCTCGTGGTAGTGCTTTCTCGCTGGAGGATCACCGGTGGTGGCATTTGCACCTGCCAGGCAGTATTCAGATGACCCCACACCTTACTAAATTTGGGATCTATTGCAAGGCCATTTCTGCACTGGCTCTGCTGCCTGAAGTTTTGGAAGCTCGTCGGCAGTGTAACCTTGGACTGCCACCAGCTGGATATGTGCCACATTCTGATGCGCTGTGATTGCAGCTGGGGGAGGCCTGAACTCAGCTGCTGTGAGACATTACTGGTTTATGTAACACACACTTTAGAGATGTGTGGGTTAAAAACAAACATTGCTCTTAGTGTACACAATAACAAGTCCCTTGTATTATTACCTCTCCTCATTTCTTTTCCTTGAAAAAATTAATCAGAGGCTGCTGAGCTTAACACGCTAGAACAATGGTGACAGCAACAAAAAAAAAAAAAAGCAGTTTTAAGTTAAAATGTGGTTATCTCCATGTGTCAGAAAGCAAACACTGACAGTGGTCATGTATCCTGAAAAAACTCTGTGGCCTTTGAAACATCATGAAGAAACTTCTTCCAACAACTCTGGCATGAGGAGGTTCTGAGCACTGCCAGCACGCAGACCTGGGAGACAAAACCGAATTGTTCGTGTGGGGCAGGGAGCTGTTTTATTTCTGTTGTCTGATAGGCCTAACCTGTTTCATTTTCTTTAGCTCAGATAACTCTGCAATGCTAAGAACTGACCGACTCAAACTGGAAGCCTAATTTACAAGGAGCAAACTTCAATACTCTGGGCACCATTTGAACTCTCAACTAATTACATTTTGCGTACCTGAGCATGTGATTTTTTAAATGACTAAATGCTGTCATTATTTCTCCTGCAATTGGTGACAGGCGTGGTAATAACCAGCCTGAGACAATTTTAGTTCGACCCTCAAGGTGCAGTAATATTACTGCCTTGGCTGAGCCTGGCCTGCCGGAGGCTCCTGGCCAGCCAGCCAGCCAAGAAGCCAGCTAGCTAGTGACCTTCTTCCTAGGGTAGGCAGCAGGTGGCTGCTTGGCAGCAAACACCCAGGCACCTCATGCCTTGTTGTATGGCCTACAAAGCCTTGTCGTGGCCAGGAGCAAGGTGGTATAGACGGGAATCACCTGGTGAACACCAAGCTGTCATTGGTCTCTCAGCTCCCAGGATAGGGGTGAAAGTCTTGTCCCCGTGCCAACTCACAGCTCTCACTGCAGCCACATTTCAACGCAAGGGATCAATAGAAAAGCCAAGCCACGTGTCATCAGCTGACACAATACACCAAACGTGTTCAAAGCACTGAAAAGTGAGTCTAAGTGTTGAGATGTGGATGGCAGACAGCTGTTGTAGTTTCTGTAGCTGCTCCAACCATGCAGCAATCTTCAGATACCTCATTGACATGTTCCTGAGCTTCAGTTAACTACATATCTAAATATCACCTAGTGTGTGATAAGACTTTCCCTTCCAGCAAAGCTTGCAGACATATGCTGTGTATACTAGCGAATTTAGGGAGAAAAGGGACTTTTTGTGTTGATTACAGAAGCATAGCCACTTTGAACTGTCAGCTTTGGGGCACCTGAACCTGAAAGATTTAGCAGTTCAGCATAAAAGTCTAATAAAAGTATAAAAAAAAAGAAAGTATAAAAAAAGTATAAAAAAGTTCAGTATTAATGTCTATAAAAGTATAAAAATCTGAAAGACTTAACAGTTCAGTATAAAAGTCACTGACAGATTTAGCAGTTTTGAGTTTAAATTGAATCAAAATCAGGGAGTCTAAAATGGCTCTAAATCTGCATTATTGAAATCAAGATTCTTATTTTTATAATCTTCATTTTGTAAGAGAAAAAAATATAAGCTATTTCCACATCTTAGTGAATATAACCAGAGTATTTTGATTGGAACTTTGACAAACTATAGTTTTGAGGTAAGTTCTGGATACTCGCTTTAAAGGCTAATGAAAGTCAAAGCCTTCAAAGACCTTTCACCGATGGGCATGATTAGAAGGATCTTATAATTCATATACATATTTATTGATAGAGATGAGAAGCAGAAAATTTCCAGCAATCAAAAATGTTAATAAACAAAAGGTATACAGAGACACTAAAAAAACATCTGAGTTCCTTGAATAGGCTATGTTCTACCACAGCCCACCATTTTAGTGCGGAAATATTTTTTCAATAGGTATTCACAAATAACTTCCTGCTTATAATATATTTAAGAAATACAAAAATGCTACGAAGCTCTGTAATCTGCTTTCTCATTCTCCAATCAGTACAGAGCATTCTTGTAAACAATGGTTAAAGTTTATACCTCCTTTTTGGCTTCTCTTTCAACAATAATAGGTTAATTTTCTGGCTCAGATGGGAGGGAGTTGGATTTGCTCGCGGGCTGTTGTGTAAGCATCAACTATACTGGAACTACACTAGGAGAAAGAAACAGGAAGAAACCAGTTGGTAAAACACCATCATAGGCTGGCAGGAAATCAGTGACTATTTGTCACTCCTTCCAAAGAGGAGAAAAACAGTTAGTGGCAAATATTCAGTACCATCAAGTATCCAGCAGAGAGATAATCTCCCTTTCTCCATGCCGGGATACTCAGAGTTTTACTTCAATGTGGACCATGGCTACTTGGAGGGTCTGGTCCGAGGGTTCAAAGCTGGGATCTTGACAAGTGCAGACTATGTCAATTTAGCACAGTGCGAGACACTAGAAGGTAAGTCTGCTGGTTTATTTTATTTAGGAAGAAATACTGTTGCTTAGACCTTTGAAGAAGTGAAGGTAAAAGACTGAAGTATTAAGAGCTTATCTAAAAAACCAAAGATAACCTTGATGTGCTTTGAAGAACTGTTCTCATATTTAAGTTAATAGCTTTCCATAGAAATTACCCTAGGTTTGTACAGACTGTGATTTGCAAAGCAATACAGATGATGGAATTTTCTAGTTTACTGATAAAGTTTGGAAATCTCATTCATAGAGTTCCTATGGAGACTGGTAACCTTCTCACAGATTTTAACCACAATATAGAACAGGTCAAGCACAGAAATTTAATATAATTTCAGTTGGAAAAAAATAGTTCACAAAATCATATTAAAAGCTTGCAATTTGGCACTGAGCTTCTCTATAAAAGACGTAATTTTAGTACTTTATTACTTCACGAGTTTTAAGGTAGTGGGGGACATTCTACTTACCAGGAAGAGAAAACTAGATGCCACAAAGATAAAACTGAACTATTATCAAGCTTTAAAAAAAAAAAAAAAAGAAGGTTTTTTCCAAGGTGACTTTGCTACAGTAATAAAGAGAACACACGCTAGTTTCCAAAACAGCTTTCTGTGGCCCAGACTGGTCACAGCCTGATGAAGACAGACTTGTACAAAGAATCATATGACATACCTCTAGACATTTGGCAGGAAAAAAATGCAACAGAAAAAAAAATAACCTTCCTAAAGGAACATAAAATTTCTTTCCCTGACTTCAAATAAAATCTATGATTGTACATTGAAATAATTTCTATAACTTGCAGTATATTAGATTCATTTCAAAAAGGAACAAGCAGAAACAATAAGCTCACTCTGTTTTAAGCATCGGTTGCTTTGTGTATGCAGTAATGGGTTTGGGAAAATGAGAAGTGCAGAATCCGATGATCACAGAATCACAGAATGGCAAGGGTTGGAAGGGACCTCGCAAAATCGTCCAGTCCAACCCTCCTGCTAAAGCAGGTTCACCCAGAGCAGGTTGCACAGGACTTCATCCAGGTGGGTTTTGCATATCTCCAAAGAAGGAAACTCCACAATCTCCCCTGGCAGCCTGTTCCAGTGCTCTGTCACCATCAAAGTAAAGAAGTTCTTCCTCATATTCAGCTGAAACCTCTTATGCTTCAGTTTGTGTCCATTGCCCCTTGTCCTGTCGCTGGGCACCACTGCAAAGAGTCTGGCTCCGTCCTCGTGACTTCCACCCTTAAGATATTTGTACGTGTTGATGAGATCCCCTCTCAGTCTTCTCCTCTTCAGGCTAAACAAGCCCAGCTCTCTCAGCCTTTCCTCACGGGGGAGATGCTCCAGTCCCCTCATCATTGTTGCCCTCCTCTGGACTCTCTCTAGGAGTTCCTCATCTTTCTTGAACCAGGGGGCCCAGAACTGGACACAGTACTCCAGGTGGGGTCTCACCAGGGCAGAGTAGAGGGGGAGGATAACCTCCCTCGACCTGCTGGCCACACTCCTCCTAATGCACCTCAGGATACCATTGGCCTTCTTGGCAACAAGGGCACACTGCTGGCTCATGGTCAGCTTATCATCCACCAGGACTCCCAGGTCCCTGTCGGCAGAGCTGCTTTCCAGCAGGTCAGCCCCCAGCCTGTACTGGTGCATGGGGTTAAACCTCCCCAGGTGCAGCACTTGACACTTGCCCGTGTTGAACTTTATCAGGTATACAACCAAGTTTTGAGGCTCTCTAAACTAGTAATAGAATAATGATGTAAGTCTGGGAAGGTTGCATGCCATTCATCTTGCAGATTAAAAGAACTACATTTAAATATATACATGTAGGTATTTACCTGTCAGCAGGATAAAGTTCCCCTCATAAAGAAGAGGTTGTCAGTACAGTCAATGGGATCTAGAGACTATTCAACTGACCAAGTGCATGTACTTACTTTGGCTGATAAGCTGGAGAGCTGTATCAGCTCTTCATTTCGTACAATGGCAGTCTAGACACACAGAACACATGTATACACTTACTCTGAGAACTGAACTCTATTCCTTATGTCAGCTGGAAAAAACCCAACAGTTTCTGTAGCCTGTTTGTACCAGCAGTTGTGATCTATGTAACTTTAAGACTCTACTGACACTCTTGATATTGTATTTAATTGCTTAAGTCAAAAAGTCCTGCTCCATGAATATATAGACTTCAGGAAAAGCTAACAGAGCTTCAAACATCTATAAAAGACACAAAGGACAGAATGATGGAATTATTAAACCTTGCTCTTACTCCACTTGTCTGCAGAGAAGCTCAATAAATGATGCCCATGAAGAAAAAAAAAAAAAAAAACAACATAAAATTCTGGTTACCTCTGAATAAGGTGAAAATATACAGGTTTAAATATTTTTAAAAACATACAAGAAAAAAAATTTCCCTCATCCTTCCCAGAAGAATCCTTGCTCATGCTAAGTTAAGAATAATTAAGAAAAGCTATCTAAATTTTAAGTCACACTACAAGAAAGTTATTTATAACCAGGAATTAGTTTTCAAACATTTCTGAGATATATAAACCTTCAACATTATAAAGAGCATGTGACAGATGGACAGATCACAATACGGAGAGAAAATCCCTTTCTAAGTAAGATGTACAGTAGAAAGAACAATGACTTTTTTATTTTTGAACCTTCTTTCTAATGTTCATTCAGTTTTAGAATGCAAATTATTTCAGCAACAGAAGCAGCAGCCTTCACCAACCCGCCTACAAGCACATCCCTACTACCCACTGTCGCTTCCCTTTTTCCTCTACTCAGCTACATCTCTCTCTCCATTGTAATATTTTCTACTTCTTTCAGACAGCTAACAGATTCCGACCAGTTATCTATCAAATGTATTATTTATAATAAAAATATGAGAAATATTGGTTTTGTACACAAGGCTAAATACACTTGTCTCTCTAAAGTAAAAAAATGGAGCTTTAGGCATACATTGTATTTTGTTTCTGGTTAAAAGATCCAGCATATGGATTTGTACCGTAGTACTATTGTGCTTGTCCAATAGTGCCTTCAGTTCTTGTCTTCACACTAAAAGGTAATAAATTTACCGCATTCTGCACTCTGTGGCATGGCACCACACCACAAAAACTGGCCTAAGTTAAAAATATTATAAATATGCTTAAACAAACAAGCAGAAACAAAATCAAAACAACCCCAAGTAACCCATAAATAGATTCAAAAAGATCTTTTAATTTCAAAGTGGTTTTGATATCTCTAGAGGGGAAACCATAATGTCAGTACAGAAGAACCACAAGAAAAACTGCAGGCTAGTGCTTTACATCTGCTTGATAATCACAGCATAAGTACAGCAGTGAGAGGGAATGAAATAAAGGAGGATGCTAATTGTCTTACGATACCACTGTGTTCTCCTGATTCAGGGCCACACAGAGAGAAGAGGCCTTCAACTTAACTTAGACATGCTTTTGGGCTGGTTTGAATTATTATAATTTCCATGGAGCCACCTCGTGGGCTGATATACTGGCTGAAAACTCTACTACATGGCATGCTGCTAGTTTGGCCCTATGTCATCATCTGTTTCAGGGGAATAGGATCCTCGGGGGAGCTCTGCTGGTAGTCACAGAAGTAGAATATGGGGCAGGGGGGGAGGGAGGGGATGGGTTAAATTCAGCACTTTATTCTTTCCTTGATTCCTTGTGTGATGGAAAAGCTACTGCTTTCTAGAACGGACACTAGGTCACAGAAAGACAAGCAGCCCAGCTCTGCTCCAACCAACATCACTGAAATAAGTTCACTTAACTTGCCAGAGCCAGGACGCATCAGCACGCGGTGGCTGAAATAACAGTGTAACTGAAAACTGGGGGTAGCTGGCTATCAAAGCAAGGAGCCAGACAAGACTCTATGTGCTTGATGCCGAGAGACCAGGTTCACGCTTTGTTCAAGTTCTCTCAATATTCCTTCTTTCTGATCAGCATCATTCCTGTCTTAATGGCATTCATCTTAAATTAGTCTCCCTCTGCACATTAATTCCCTTCAGACATACTGTTTGTTGTGTTTGGTTGCTGTTCAATTGTGAGTAATATCACGTAATTTAAAATCACATAATTTAAAGTCATACATTTCCTACATATGATTTCCCTGCATACATTTGTATGAGGAAATACATGATGCAGATGGATGGCAATAATACTGACAGCTGAAATACAGGGATTTTCTTTCCTAGGGATCTTGTGGACATGTTAAAAAGCCCAGGGTTGTGTGTAGGTCTCCACGCGTCCCTGAGAAAAGGAGCATCTACCATCACTAAAAAGTTTTGGTGAACAGGAATGTTTGAAGCCCCTGTAATGCTCAGCCACCTCCTCTTGCCCCTGCCAGGCCATCGGGCCACGTTACTAGTACAAGTGTCTGACTGTGTTAGTTCCCAGGTCTTATTTATGCCAACAGCCAAAAGAATATCACTTAAGACCAGTGGAGCAGTCTCTGAGCTGCACTGAACTCCGACACGGTGTGAACTCTGATTATGACATTCCTGATTGATACTATATGGTATTGGAGCTGGTGGATGGATATTTTATCACTTGTTTTGGCCAAGGCCATGAGATAGGGATGAATACGGTTTCTTACATACAGTATGCATGTTGGCACTTGTTAAATCATTGAGAAGAAATACTTCTCTAAAGCAAGCTGTGGAAGTGACAGGGTCATAATTCCAGTATTCCTGGGCATAGTATTTTCCTTTGTAGCTTTTGAGAGCCAGGTGGGGCTATTTAATGTGCTACAGCTAATATTTTTCATGTCTTACATTAGGGCATGGGTTTTGAAGCCACTCAGTCAGTAAGAGAACTAAGGCAACACGGTCGTGTCAAACTACTCTCAGTCAGCTGGGTTTGGTTTCTGTTCATCTCGTGATGATGTTAAATACACTTCAGAATGGTCAATATTTGAGGTTTGTAGTCTGCTTTAGGTGATAAACCTCTGAAAACCACCGTGTTTGGAATGCATTTACAGAATATGACTCAAGGTATCAGTGGTTCGTCTGAAAAGGAATTGAGGCAAGCTGGAATTCAGCTCTCTGCATGTAATGAGGTAGTAATATCTAATCCTACCATACGCCAAGTATTTTTACCTTTTTTGCAATAAAAAGAGAAAGTAAAAATCAGTTTTCACAGGAAACGTAGATGTGATATGAAAATATTACTGATTTTTTTAAAAGCTGGTCTTACATATTTAGACTCATTTCTGAGCATAATTCAGTGGTTTATTTGTATCTTAATCTTTCTTACCTTTCTCTCTTTCTTGAATTAAGTGGTTTTCTTTTTTCATATTTGGATTCTCTTTCTTCTTCCTACATGGAAGCCTGTACTGAAATCATGGCTATTTCCTAGTTTCTGGCTCTGACCATTGAAAGACCAATTACATCTGCCTTCTTTTGTCAATGGTTTTGTGGCAACCTATATAATTTTAAGAAGCAACTTTTTCTGAGTCAGTGGGAGTGTTGCTGTCCTTTTCCCTAAATATCACTTCCGATTTTATCTGGAAATCCAACCATTATGAATACCCAAAACATATAACATTATCTCAATCTATAATTTACAGTAGTTTTAATATAGCCTTTGAACATAATTATGCAATACAGCAGGGGCTTTCCTAAAAGGAAATGTTAAACTGCTTTGAACACTAAGAACTGATTCAAACCCTTACTTTTGCCTCATGGTGGAAAATGTCCAATCAATTCTTTGATATTGCAAAATCTTCTTTCAACTTTGCTGTCTAATCAACCCATTTTCCTCGGTTATCAGGGTCAGGAGCTCAGACAGAATATATCATGATAACCTAAGTTTCTGGAACAGTTTCCTAGGACCTGTTAGTAGCAGCCATAAATCAGACAAAGCCAAACCAGAAATGCTAAGGGAGTGTAATTGGGCCTTTTCAAGTGCTCCACTGCAGAAGCCATTTGGAGCCCAGAATCTGGGCCAGGCAAGATGTGTTCTCTCCTCTTCTTCAGGCAGTCTGATAACGTAAGATCATAGTCTTAACTGAGATTGAAATGTTTCATATGAAAATTTAAGATCTTAACAAAGTTAAAGGATGATTCCTACTGATGCATAACAGTCCATAGGAATGCAGGAGACAAAACAACCGACATATGGTGCAAGAGTGGTGCACTGAATAAATCAGAGAAATGAAAACATTGAACAAACCTGATTGGGAAGGGGCTCAGGACAGTAGTAATTAACACTGTGCCTGGTGTGGCTGGAAACTAAAGTTGCCAGTGAAACTTCTGACAAAGGTATAATTTATTTGTGCTTTCATGTGGTATGCAGTAAGTCTTACTGGTAGAAGGTAGTAAAAATTTGCAGTAATTATGCATTTACTCTATGTTAAATCTACAGCAAAACCTTTTCAGTAGAGTATGATCAGACCCTTAATATGAAAATATAATGTTAGAAATTAACATTTTTTTGTTTGTTTTGTAGACAATATAGCAACAGCTTATTCTCATGATTTTCCTTGGATCTAATTTCAGATCTGAAGTTACATCTACAGACTACAGACTATGGTAACTTCTTGGCTAATGAAACTGGCCCTCTCACTGTTTCCACCATCGACGATAAACTAAAAGCAAAACTACTCACAGAATTTCATTACTTTAGAAACCATGCTTTTGAACCACTTGCCACTTTTCTGAATTTTATCACGTAAGTAATGTTACCCCATAGCTTACCACATAGACTTAAAGCAAAAGCATAGCTACAAGTTAAAAGAGTGTAAATGCATTGTACTTGAACCTCTATTAAGTTTCAAAAATTAGCAAAAATACACATATGAAGAGCTGTTGTCTTTGCAACTACTTATTTTAAAGAACACAAGCAGATTTTTTCTGTGTACAGTGGCAGGAAGAGTGGTAGAGATTGAGAAAAATGGTTATAATTTTCAAACATTTAAGTCAGAGAACTTGCAAAACTGAAGTTTGTGGGAGTGACTCATGCAAGATTAGCAATTTCATGACGTACAGGGCAGTGATTTAATTCCTAGGCATGTGGCAAGTTCTAGATTTTTTTTAAAGGGAGAAAAACTTCATGTTGTGTATAGCAAGATACTTGGATCCAAGTAGGTTTTTCAGAAAGTAAACGTGCTATTTGATGCCACAAAAAGTTCTGATCTCAGTACAGTCATAAACATAGAAAATTTGTCAGTGAATGGCTTAAACAACATAAAGAACCAGGATATTTTACCTAACTGTTTACTCCCTTGATCTTTTTAATATTTTATAACACGAACACTAGATTGTTCAGCTTACTTTTAAGGAGTATTTTATCATTACAGCAAAATAAAGTATCATTATTCTTTTTTTTTTGGGGGGGGGGGGGGGGGGGGG